TATATTTACTTACAAAATGATTATTTAGTGATTATGATTCGACATAATTGTTTATCATATTGGTTGTTCTTATATTTTGTGATTACTATTTTGATGTTTGATCACCATTAGAATAAATTCATTGTCTTCTTTTGAACTCGGGAGAGGAATAGAGATATAGAACGAGCATGATCTTTTCTTGCATGTCACTTGAATTGATTTGTGTCTAGGATAGGGATATACCTAGGTGCCTTGTTTGGCTCAAATACAGGAATACAACTTAATATTCCATAGTTGGTTCATCTATCCCCGCTCAACGATGTAGTTAGATTGTCAATTGTGGTAGATGGTTAGAGGTCGGGAGATCATGACTATATTATCAACCCCATGAATCAGCAACTAGATAATCAAATAAGTTGATGAAATTGATGCTAAACATGATTGTTAGTTAAATTATAATCATAGATCGATTCATCATTGATTGTGTAAACAACTATCTTTTCTTAGTTAATTGGTTTTTAGTTATTTTATCTTTATTTTTAGTTAAGTTAATATATATTCATCTTTTGAAATCCTCCCTTAAATAAATAATTAGAATTAATATAATTTAGTAAGAATAATTAATATCGTTATTTGGAAACAACAATGACTCATTCCCAGATGAGCAGGTATTAGTTGCCACTCTTGATCTCATTCCTTGGTTTGCTGACTTTGCAATCTATCTTGTCCGTGATTTGATGCATGAAGGGTTGACATTTAAACAAAGGAAGAAATTCCTAAATGATGTGGATAAATATTTGTGGGATAAACCCTATTTATATAGGATGTGTGTTGATATCATCATCAGGCAATGTGTACCTAAAGCTGAAACACTAAGCATCTTAGAGACCTGTCACTCATCTCCGGTAGGTGGTCACCATAGGGGTGCACGGACTACCCACAACGTATTCCAAAGTGGATATTACTAGCCTACAATCTATCAGAATTCGTTCAACTTGGTCAAAGGCTGTGATGTGTTACAATGGCAAGGAGCTATTTCTCGTCGTCATGATCTACCAATGACACCAATTTTGTAGGTCGAACTGTTTTACGTTTGGGGGATTGATTTTATGGGACCTTTTGGGAGCTCCTATGGGCAAAACTATATACTAGTGGCAGTGGATTATGTTTCTAAGTGGGTCAAAGTTGTAACCTTGCAAAAAAATGATGGTAAAAGTGTTGTAGGTTTTTGAAGAAGAACATTTTTTCAAGATGAAGGCTCACACTTCTGCAATAAAGTGTTTAGTGCACTTTTGGCGAAATATGGGGTGAAACAACAAAAAGTGGCGACGCCTTATCATCCGCAAACAAGTTGCCAAGTAAAAGTGTCAAACCAAGAGATCGAATCAATATTGGCGAAGACAGTGAATGCCAATAAAATAGATTGGGTGAGGAAGTTAGATGCTGCTCTATGGGCATATTAGACAACTTTCAAAACACCCATTTGTATGTCACCATATAAGTTAGTGTTTGGAAATACATACCATTTCCCTATAGACTTGGAGCATAAGGAAATTTTGGCGTTAAAGAAACTAAAATTGAGTTGGAGTGAAGCAACGAACATGATATTAGATCAGATAAATGAACTGGATGAATTTTGATTTCGAGCTATCTGCTCTGTATAAGGAAATGATGAAGCTGTATCACGATAAACATATTGAGAAGACGACTTTCAGTTGTGGAAATTTAGTTCTACTTCTCAACTCGAGGATTCGTCTATTTTTTGGGAAACTGAGATCCAAATGGTCTGGGCCATTCAAATTCACTCAAGTGTTTCAGTCGGGAGCTATTCAACTCGAGAATGACAAATGAGAAAGGTTCAAGGCAAATGGCCAGTGAGTCAAAGAATAATTGGGAGTCCAGGAAGAGGTAAAGATAGTGGAGGAATGCAAGCTTGATGAAGTCTGAGTAAACAAGTAAATTGCGTCGCATCGCAACGTTAAATTGTGCGCTGATTGGGAGGCAACCGAAGATGTAATTGTAATTGGTGCTTTAAAATTTTATAGTGAGTCATTAATTTTTATAGTGTCACAATGTATGCATGTGCAGAAAAGAGTTTGGGCAGATTAATAAAGAGCTGGCGCTTGGACGACCTTCACGTGCAACCTAACGGGCCAGTTATATCCCGTAAAATTCCACAAGTAGGGCTTAAGAAGGATGGAGTGTAACACAAACCTTAACCCTACATGCTACAGCTAGATAGGCTATTTCCAAAGGACCTTCGGCTCAAATGCAACATATCAAAATAATTATGAAAAAGAAAAATGATGGTGAAAAAAAATGTAACAACTTAGAATAATATAGGAGAGCAGTGCAGAACATTCGTAAAAAAGTAGTAACAATAATAACAAAATAATGCGATAATAGAAACATAAATTGGTGATGTTTGGTGCTCCTGTGTCATGAGCATCACCTCCTCCTCCCCACCCCCTCTAAAAAACAAGGAGTAAAAATAAAAGGATGTACCTCAACCTGGTCAACACAGTCTTGGTTGTCCAACTTGTCCATACTTTGTCTTATGGATACTCGATGTTGACGTGACGTAAAATTTTTGAAGGCTTCTGGATTATCATTTTATAAATTGGAGTGTTTAACTTATACAATAAAAACGAGTTGAAGTGTCTAAATATGCACTACCAAAATTAAAGTGCTTACTTGCTGGCTGACATCAAGTTCAAGTGTCTATTTACGTATTATGTCATCTTAAAAACACTTCAAATATCTCCTATCCACAAACCAAACAGGATCCATCATCCAGAAAGTACTCAAGGAAACACTAACTAATTGAATTTAACAATATTTGCATTTAGACATTCAGATTAACTCTTGTTTTGATTGAATACCTCAGCTCATAATAATATGTTTCAGTTTAATATTTTCAATTCATATTATTGAGAAAACTCTTATATGTGTTTCTCATTCGGGTGTTAGTAAGGGTGAATACGTTATGGTAGATATTGAATGATCTTATCGAATCAATTTTTTTTATACTGTGATTTCAATTTGGTAGGATATGTGGTATACATTTTGGTATTTGGTACTTATAAAAAATATATTGAATATCATACCGAAGTATATAATACTAAAAAGAATGTGATTCCCTTCTTTTTAGTTTGTCTCAAAAAGAATGTCACTATTCCATAATTAGAATCAATTCGTCTTTAAATTTTCTCTTTTACCTTTGAAGAAATGATTTTTAGACCACAAGTTTCAAAAGTCTTCCATTTTTTCCTTAAACTTTATGTCAAGTCGAACGGTGTTACATAAATAGCGACGGGGGAGTATTATAATACTAACAAGTATATAACCTAATTAGTACAAAATTAAATATTTAGACATTGAAACTTTGATTATCTATCTTGGTTGCAATGTATTTTTTGTGTAATTGATTAGCAAAGAAAATTGATTGTACTTTCTTTTGAATATATATACATGTGTAAGGTTTTGATATGATATAATTGGGATACTTTTTGAAAATTGAAATCGTATTCTCTATTATATGAGTATATATAAATCGACGTTGAATAAACTATATTTATCAATTTATCTCACAAATATCGAAATTGAACTTAAAAATACCAAATCATACCAAATTAATTTGTTAACCACATCCTAATATCTCCGTTAACAGGGGTTTCTCAAAGAGGAAGCTAATGAAGGCCCCCCAAAAGTTTGAGGCCCCATTTTAAAAAAAAGTAATAGTAAGCTTGATAATTTTATTTTTGCTTAAATAATATAAAATTTAACTAAAACAAAAAGCTTTCTACTCATTATATTGAATTACACTGTTTATATCAGTATATTAACATTATCTAATAAGTTATATAGAAAATAAATGACCAAATCAATTGCAATTTTGACCCATTTGGCCCAAAACATCGGCCCAAGGGACCCCCAAAACATCGGTCCAACTAGAGAGGTTGTTTCCGAAAAATTATCGGCTCAAGTGCAACAAATTCAGAAGAAGAAAACAAGTAGAAGGGAACAAAATAATGTCAATTAGTATGTGTTTCGTAGTAAAATACTCAAATTAATTATTATTTCTTAAGATGTTTGTAAAGTCTAAAGTGAACAAGTGAAAGTATCGATAACTTTAAAGTGATCTTATATTCTTATTTAGTTTACTACAAAAAACACTCTTTTTTTTTTCTACTTATAAGTAACCTGAATAAAATAATGTCTAATGAATCATTTTTATAGCTTCCTCACAAAGTAATGATAATTGTTTCTCTCCTTTGGTGATGAAATTCATCTTCTCATTTTAAAGTAGAGTTTATAGCAAATTTCCTTGTAATTACTCATTTCATTATAATTTCTTCATCTTACTTTTCTTTGTAGTTCATTTAAAAGAGTACATCTACAACTCTTTAGTTCTAAATTTTCGTCTAACATGTTTAAAATCACGATATTAAATGACATTTTGATACATTATACATATCTTTATAGGTCTTGATGCATCCTATTTAGCTCGGGTGTCCAGTGAGACACAATGGGTACGAGTTAAGATGTCTACATATATATTTTCAAAGTTGAATTGTTTAATTATTAGTTGAGACCAAGTTGACGTGTCTATGTATTATGGCTTTTAAAATCTTACAAAACACTTTTCTGTTATGAAAATGAGGCTATAGTGTTACTTTGCTTGTTTGTTTTCAACTTTTGGCATGTCCAGCTAAAAGTTACAAATGCAGCTATGTGAGTTTTTACCTACAAATAGAATTTTGAGCTGACCATATTTGGTTGTTTTTCTCACTCAGTACTGAAAGAAATATTACAGCCTAAAAAAGAATCAGAAACTTTGTCCCATTCTTTTAGTGTGATTCAATAGACGAGTTAAATTTGTTGCACAACTATCTTTTCTTATATGGGTTGTTTTGTCCTACTACATTCTTGAAAACCCTGATGTAAAAAGAGGTAAAACAGAAAGATTTTTTATTAGTTTTTCAAAATCAAGAATGGTGGATTCTTAAGAAGTTGGAATCATGGAGGAAAGAGAGGAGGTTATGGTTTCATCTGATGATGAAGAAGTAAAACCCATTTTTAGACTTGCTCATTTTCTTAAACCAACAACCAAAAAACTCCCTTTTCTCCCTTCAAGACTCAAAATTTCTTGTTCATCACTAAAAGTTCAGTTTAGGGGTGGTTTTTCATATATGAAGGGATGGTCTAAATGGGTTGATGAGTTAAAGCCTTTACACCAAGAGATATGGAAGAAAGCTGGAATCTTTGAAGGTATTATAGCTTCAACATTTAAGATTTATAGGCATAGTGATTTGATTCTTGCTTTAGCTGAGAGATGGTGTTTGGAGACTAATACATTCATTTACCATGGGGAGAAGCTACTATTACTTTGGAGGATATGGTGGGTTGACATTGAAAAAGCTCTTTGTGAGGTTCATAAAGATATTAGAGCGCGTAAAACAAATGTTGGTCACCATGCTTGGATGGAGCATTTTGATGGAAGAGGTGACCATTTGGAGCATGTTGCATTTTTGATCCTTTGGTTGTCAAGGTATGTGCTTCTTGCTACAAGTTTTCTGGTTGTGGACAGAGCTCTTTTCCCTATTGCAATTCATCTTTCTCAAGTAATTCCAATAGCACTTGCCCCTGCTGTTTTAGCTAGTATTTATAGGGATATGAGCTTGCTTAGACAGTTGATTGTATCTTCAGCTAAGAACCATGTGCCGAGTGATTCTAGATTTATAGAAGATGTGTTGAATCCGAACCTTCGGGCTCCTTTTCAGTTTGTTCAGCCATGGGCTTGGGAGAGATTTACAAATTTGCAGCCTAAGCCTAGTAGTATCATATACACTGGGGAGCCAAGAGTAGCTAGATGGCATAAGGTGAAAAAACTAAATCATGTGAATCCTAGGAGTGGAATAGATTCCGCTGCTGAATGTTTTTTGTGGTGTCCTTATGTCGTTGATATTGTGAAGAATTGGGACATCATCAGATTTTACAAGGAGAGGGATGAATATGTGGTGGTTGGACCAAATATGGGAAGAGAAATCATGGCTTTTGCTCGACTTGTTCGAGCTTCTGAACTAGTTGGAATGGATTGTGTTGAACAGTATAATCCGCATAGAGTATCAATGCAATTTGGATTTGATCAAGATGTGCCCGATTGTGTGAATCATGCTAGTGATCATATCCCGAAAATTGCTTGGACTAATTATAACAGACCAATTAAAGATGTCAACCTCTATATACCTTCTAGGTTCATCGAGTCGGATGTCAGCAGACGGTACTTGGAATGGTGAAAGAACCAAAATGTTGCACCTGAGGTTGCAGTTCAGCACGAAAAGATCAATGCCTCTGTATGCTGTGGTATTTTGCAGAAATGTGAAATGATAGTAATAGAATCATCATCAGATGATGACGACAATATTCCAATTTCTGTATCTTTACGCAAGAGGAAACTCATGAAGAAAGAAATTATTGTACCTGGTAATAATCAAGAACTCTTCCTTAACATGCAAAGTCAATCTTCTTCAGCTTCGAATGATGGGACTGCCAGAGCAAGGGAGACTCTAGTGGAATCAAAACCAATAAGCGAAAAATTTGAGGCTTCAAATGGAAAGTCAAATGAAGATGGAGATGGGCCATATGTAGTTAAGGAAATGGTGCCACTAGAGAGCAAAACAATGACAAAGGTGGCTGCAAGCTCAACCTGCCTGATAGTATTGAACTTGCAAGTGACGGTCCAAATGCAGAACTTTTGAGTACTAATCCTGCTAAAACATTGCAAATGAGCGAAGCTTCAGTGGTGACACCGAAGGTAACAACAACGTGTACCAACATAACTTAAGGAAATATAGCGATGGGAAACATTAACAACCATGAGAAAGGGAACAGTAGAATTTGAAATGATCGATATTCTGAAACTTGAGATGAGGATTAGAAACCTTGAAAACATCAATGCTGGAAAGGTTCCAATAGTCAGGACAAAGTGAAAACAAGATTAAGCTAAACTATAGTGCTAATACTTCTCTTACTAAGTCTTTGTTTAGGTCATGAAGTTATATATTCTTCTTTATTGCCTAGTACTCAGAGATACACACACAGTGCTACTAAATCGTTCTTCTATTTAGGTCCTCTTGTAACTATCTCAGCTTAAGTAAAAAAAATTCACTTGAATTATGTTTCAGTTCACTTGTTTACTTTCCAGGTTTCTAAGAACCCGTTTGGATTGACTTAAAAGTTGGTCAAACATACTTTCAAGTCAGTTTTTGACTTCTGAAAGTGTTTGGCAAATATAAAAAATAACTTAAAATAAGTTATGAAGTGTTTGACAAGGTAAAAATGACTTAAAATAAGTCAAAATTAAAGTAGGTCTCCCCCTACTTTTATTTTTGACTTAGAAGCTACTTTTTTTAAGTCAATCCAAACGGGCTCTAACTGTTTTGCATATTAACAATCTTGCATAGTTCTCATTTAGCTCTATGAAGCGTTTGTGGCTGTTGCGAATGCAAAGTCAAGATTACAGATATGATCCCCCCCCCTGCCCCCCTTCAATTAAAAACCAAGTCGGTGACAAACATCTTCTTTTAAGTGTGGAGATTGGTGAGTAATTAATAGGAAAATTCCGGGGGATGAGATAATATTGAACTTTGGCCATATTCTTGTTTTAAAGTGGACTTATTGCAGACAAAAAAGAACTTTTGAGCATGTATTTGTTGAAGAGGATATTTGCAAGACAGGTATGGAGCTATTTTGCAGGATCATTTGGCATCACCTTCAGAATTCATATAGCCGATGGCTCCAACTTTTTTGAAATTGAGGCATAGTAGTAATTATTGATGCAGTATTAGGCATAGCCAGAATTCATATGCGGACAGTTTGTACCGAGAAATAGTCCTGATGATAGGAGAAATATTAAACAGGAGCACACTACTCCTACACAAATTTTTGTTTTTGTTTAGCTATCTGATATCCCTAAGCCACAGGCTAGACTAATCTGGATTTGTGCCAGGGATAAAAGGCTACTTATCCAGAAGTTCACCCCTCTCCTCTGCATTTTCAGGATCTTGAACTCGAAACCTTTGATTAAGGATAGAGAAGTTTCAACCATCCCAATACTCCCGATGGTCATTCATTCTATGATTAGGATCTTTTGAAAGCACACGAGAAGAATCTAACCAACTGTAAGGGCTGAGCTTGTTATTGTATTTCTCGCAAGTTGGTTATCCACTATTTTGTTGTTGTTGTTGTTGTTCCTTTTGTACTTTGGTGCTGCTGAGCCGAGGTCTCTGGAAAACAACCTCTCCATTTCCACTCTACCTCTGGAACCACTTGTGAGATTTCACTGGTATGTTCTTCTTGTTAAATTTAGGATTACCATAATATCAAATGCCACACAGAGAAGGATGTTTCATTACAGGGGTAAATTCGTTAATCAAATATTATTAGGAGTAGGAACACATTATCGGACTCTGTTTCAGGTCATCTAGAACCTGAAAATAAGAAAAGCTTCCATTTCTTTTTGTCTTTCAACTCGGAGATCGATCTTCATCAATTCAATTTTCGATTTTTGCAGGATCTTTGGTAATATATGACCTTTTTTAAATATATGTTCTTGTTGTAAAGATATGACACCTGGGCCTAACTCAATCCCAAAAGCTAGCTCATGGGGGGAGGTTTGCCCAATTCCATATAAGGAGACCACCAGTCCATTCCCCAACCAATGTGGGACTGTTACCCACTCTAACACTTGTGTCATTTGCTTCGCTTAATTTTTATTCAAATATATGTTGTTGATTGATTCGGATGATAGCCATCCACCTAAGCCTCAGTGGACAATGTTACTAGATACCTGTGCGTACGGGAGTTAGCAGGTACCCATGCATTATTAATCGAGATGGTACAAGTTGACCTGGACACTCCCGTTATTAACAATATGTGAAATTATTGGCTATTTAAGAGTCTAAAAAAGACCTAAAAAAAAATTCTACTTCCGCATTATTTTCTTGCGGGCACTTCTCTACTTGAAAAATGAAAATGTAATGCCCTACATATTATATGTTTCATAACTTTCATATTACAGGTTGTAGTATTTATTTGGTGGTAACGAGGATAAGGGAAGCTTCACAACATTGTCTCGTAGTTTCAATATACTTTGAAGCTAAGATATGGAAAGCATGTGTAAAGCGCCTTCATAAGGAATATAGAGCACTTCGTAAAGGACGTAACCTTTTAGATGCTGGTAAATTACTCTACATTTGAAGCATTACTAGATACTTTTTTTCAGTCTAAAGTTATTTGCAACTTCTCCTAGTTTCCCTTTTTTGGAGGAGAAAATTGCTTCTAAAGTGTGAAACTATCACAAATCACCAAGAATGTCTGAAATAACTTTTTCACACTTAGACAAAATAATCAGTTACACTGTTTTTCTAAATATTTAAAACTTTGAATTCAACTAAAATTTTCATCATTAAAACTTAATTTCCTTATTTGAACTAGATAGAATATCCTAAAATTTAGAACTTCAAAATTAATGTAAATGTTCTTTGTCTGTTCTTGCCCTATTTCTTCAGAAAGAGCTGGAATCCAACGTGGTTCGTGTCAAGGTAATGAGTTACGAGCAATAACATAATGCTTATTTGTCCGGCAATACTTTCATTAGTGCCTTTTTGGTAGCTAAAAACCTGTCTGGTTTTGTTTCTGTGATGACAAGGAAAAACAAATCATTGTTGCAATTTGGTAAAAATAATTTTCTGTTTTCATTTCTGCAATGACAAGGAAACACATATCATTCTTTCAACTTTCAAGGAAAACATGATTTCTTAACGAAAAGGTTAACTGTGTTTTTACTTATTGAACATTTCGTTTTCAGGACCACTCCTCAGTATCGACCTCACTGCACTACAGACCCACCCTAAACAAATGCCCTGTCACCGGGCTGTCAGGCACTCAAAGTTTGTTTTTAGGACAAATTAAGGGTTCTCAACACTGAAGGTTCTTGGCATTTCTATTGAAGTATAAATGTTTTGAAAAATTAAAAGACTCGTAATAGAAAATGGACCTAATAGTACCCTACCACGAGTCCATGACTATTTCTTAATCCCAACTAATTATTGTCACTTATATCTGTCTTTTGGTTCCAATCTTATTCTATTTTGTTTGCTCAGTCAACAAAGTTCCCGGGAGAATCCGTGCTAGCTTCCCTCCATGTGTGTCTACTTTGTTATATATATATATATATATATAGTTAGTTTTTTTTTGTTAAACATGTTTCTGATTTCTTGTTGAAACAAAATAGCCAAAACACGTCTATTTATTCTTAAAGCTAAAGGGTGGTTTACTGATTCATTTGTTGAATTATTTCTTTTTGCAAATTATATTGGGGTTTAAACGTGCATTGCGTAATACAACTGCTATCTCATGTTCTAACTATGTATAACTTGCAGATGGACAATAGTCCTATCACAGGCAGTGTAACAACAGTAGTTGCTGAGAAAGAGAAACTCGCGAAGGCATCTCTGGCTTTTAATTGTAAAAGGTGAGTTGACCGCAAGTTCCTTGCTTGTGTGTTGTATTTGTATAACTGCATTGAGATTTTTAGTCTCCACATTTCAAGATCTCCTGCACAAGAGATGGACATGCTATTTTACCGCGTGTATTTTGTTAAATTACGTTTTTATTAGGCCGGAGGGTAACTTACACTCAATTTATGACAAATGAACCTTAAGGAAATTGTTGGTGAGTTTGGAGAAGTATGAACATCAGCAATTCCCGTCGCAGCCTCTTCCATAGCAGGTGTTGTAACGACCCGAGAGCACCCCCTAGTCGTTACCGGCGTATTCGACCTCGAAGAGATCTTATACAAGCCCTTAGCATTCGTCATAACATGTATCATAGAATAAAATCACGAAAAATTTAAAACTTTTACTTTGGAAGTTCACTTCACTTCATATATGAAAAATAGAATCTAACTTCGTCACAATGCACCATCTAGACATAGAAGTATCAAAAAATGGGACTTAGCCCTTACATCAATAAGAAGTCTCGAAATAGGAAAGTACAGAAATGTCTTTCAACATAAGCAAAGAACTAAACATAGAAGCTAGATCATAGGGTCTTGTTCTTGGACTTGAGGACTCACCAACTTGGGGAAGCAACTCCAAGTGTCTTGAGAAGTAAGCTTGAATCCTCAATGGCCCGAACCTAGATGTTTGGGGAAAAGGGAGAAAATATGGGTTAGTACAACACACGAAGCCAAGTATCACATTAAGCAACCTACTTCATGCATACATTCATAAGATCATATTTCATCATAACTTACCATATTCATAATGATCATACATAACATAGCTTCAACATACATAAGTCATAATCATCATAATCATAAGAGAACACTACTACAACCATCTCTTAGGATCCCCCCAAGTGCAATGTGCAAGAGAAGTCCCATACCCTCCCTTACACTAGGTAGAAACCCTTAAGAAAGCCCTAGTAAGAGTTCACACCTTTCATATCTTCATTTACTTTTACATTAGTCTTTACTAGACTCTTATGTAGAGCTTAGAGAGAGAATTTTTGGAGAGGAGAGTTAGTTATGTTTTGAGTCTTGTAAGTTATGAGGTGTTAAAAGAGTTGGTTAATAGTTAATAACTACTTATATATGTCTAAATAAATAATATAAACCGTCCCCACCCTTTAATAATTAAAATAAAACTTACCTAAATTAATTCACCCTTGGCCGAATTTAAGACAGTCTCACAGACCCCATCCATGACCCCCACCCACGGGCCGTGGATGGACCCACGGACTGTGGATGGACCCAGGGACCATACTGGTCACTTGTGGGTTGGGTATGAGACTTGTCATTTTGGCCATGGTCCAGACCTCACTCACGCGATCCCATCCACAGGGCGTGAGTGGGTCCACGGACCGTACTGCACGTGCTTGGAATGGTACTGAAACTTTGGATATTTGGGAGAGGTCTAGCCTCGACTCCCGACCCCCACCCACGGGCGTGAGTCCACCCACGGGGCGTGGGTGCCCATTTCGTGAGTCAAGCTGCTTTTGACAGCTTTTTGGGCAGTCCCTTGGTTCTCCTCAAGGACCCTTAGGGGGTCCTTGGGGGGGCTATGCCTTGACGTTTAGGGACTAAAACATTAGAACTAAGTAGGGGAGGTTATTTTACGACTCTTATCTTTACGTTTAACCTCATTTAGGCTACTAGACTACGTGTTAGGCTCTATCTTAGTTCATTAGATTTTTGGGGTGTTACATTATCTCCCCCTTGGGAACATTTGTCCTGGAATTATGATCTTGACACCAAACTAAGTTAGAAACTCAAGATTAGCAGCCCATCTGTCACGACCCAAGCCTATGGCCTAGACGTGACCGGCGAATGGGGAACCCGAAGGAACCCCAAACAAGCCTCATAGCGTATCATTACACATCCTTGGTCGCAGAAGCAATTAAATGACCATGAGCAATAAGCATAATCAAAGGGGGGAAATCGGGACTAAGGGAGCAAGAAAAAAAAAAGAAGAAATGATACTTAAATACCATAGATGAGTCAAGCTCAAGCATAATACACAACTTGTCCAACACCACCTCTAAACATGAGTACTTAGCGGGGGCCAAGACAAACTACCGGGCTCACCCTCATAGTCAAAACATAACTAAAAAAAGAAAGGTCTTATACATAGCAAAAGATCATGAGCAACGTCCCCGGAATGGAGGACTCACCAATAACCTTGATAGGAAATCGTATTAGCCACGCGGAGGAGGATGGTCAAGCGGTGCTCCGGTCCCTACATGGTGACATCATGTAGGCATAGAGTATGCGTTAGTACGTTTGAATGTACTAAGTATATGGGATGCAATGCAATGCTACAATAGATGGACATCATAGGAAAAATGCATAATCATACCCGATAGATAGCACATTAATGAAATGATATATATAATGACGTTTACATAAAAATCATATTTAGTGGGACGTAGTACATGTGTGGTGAGTGACCATCAATATAATACTTTCCAAGGCCTACCACCCCCTTGGAGAGGCGAAAGAGGTACAAACCCCTCAATGTGGTTACCCGGGCCTACCACCCCCCGAGCTAGGGACCAAGGTACAAACCCCTCGATATGGTTATACAGGCCTACTACCCCCCGTACTAGGCAATCAAGGTACCAACCCCTTGATACGGTTACCCGGGCCTACAACCCCCCGAACTAGGCTTGATCGACTCACACACTATATAGAGAAAATCATATACACTTAACTACAAGAGTCCTACCACCCCCACCAAAAGCATATAACATTGTCCTCAATGTGAGCAGAGAACAAACATTAACAAAAATAAACACAAAATACTGGCACTCAAACAAACAGAGTAGAGTGACAATGAATCTTCACTAGGCGCCCATTTGGTGAAAGCTTGCAATAGTCGCCGAGTTGTTCGGCGAATCGCCAAGTTGCCCGAAGCTCGCCGAATTTTCCAATATGCAACCATTCCATTTTAGGGCGGGAAGGCATACAAGAGAAAATCCGCTTAATAACATCACCACATTGCCTAATGGATGTGAATCCTCGCCGAAAAATCTAAAACTCCAAGCTATCAGAGCTGGTGCAAAAAGGCGGATAATTCGAGTAACCCAATCATCTCGGCGAATCACCGAGTGGTGCATGTATCCCGTCTAATGTTCCAGTGTCTCAGCTTACTGTTGACGCCAGAAGGGCGATCAACTTCGTGATCGCTGAACTTACTCGGTAAACCGTCTAAGTAGTTTTAGCCTCACAAAATAACATACACCTGCACATTCAGCACACATTATTCAAAGCAACTAACACTTGGGTTGCCTCCCAAGAAGCACCTTATTTAACATCATGGCACGGCGTGGAAATGCTTTCAAGCATCTTCCATGTACACCACTTCAATCACTGAAATTTCATGGCATTCTCCAAAATATAACTTCAAGCATTGCCTAACCATTTTTATTTGAGCTTTCCTGGAAAGAATCTCAGTCGAGAATTATATAGCAACACCCAATCTCCAACTCAGAACTCCCTCCTAAGGATTTTAGAATCATGTCAGTTCTTCATTTTTTCCTTGTAGAGAGCTGAATATTCATATGCACTAAACCTGAATTCATCCAATTCATTTAGTTGATCTACTCTTCCTTTTGAATTCTTGGCCCAGTCCAGATTCAGAGCCTTTAATGCCCATAGTGCTTTGTGTTCCAGCTCAATCGGTAAATGGAAAGATTTCCCAAAAACTAGCTAATATGGAGACATACCAATTGGTGTCTTGTAGGTAGTGCGATATGCCCACAGAGCATCATTTAGCTTTTGATACCAATCGGTCCTATTTGCATTTACCGTCTTAGTTAAGATACTCTTCATCTCCCGATTCGAAACTTCCACTTGACCACTCATTTGAGGATGATATGATGTTGCTACTTTACGTCGCACCCCGTATTTGCTCAATGCGGATGCAAAAAGCCTGTTGCAAAAATGGGATCCACCAACACTAATAATTGCCCGAGGAGTGTTGAACCTAGCAAAGATGTAGCATTTTAGGAACTAAACAACACTTTTCCCTTCATTGTTTGGTACTGCTACAACTTCTACCAATTTAGAAACATAATCTACTGCCACCAAAATGTATTTATTACCAAACGAACTCACAAATGGTCCCATGAAATCTATTTCCCAAACATCAAATAACTCAACTTCCAGAATAGGTTTTAGAGGCAGCTCATGTCTTCTAGCTCCACCTTATTTTTGACATTATATGCATTTCTTAACAAATTCATGAGCATCTTTGTAAAGGGATTGTTAGTAGTAACCACTTTGAAGGATTTTAACAGTTGTACGTACTCCGCTATGATGACCACAAAGAGGTGAAGTATGACAAGCATGGAGAATTTCATTGAATTCCTCTTCAGGCAGAGATCTCCTAATGATATTTTCTGCACACTCTTTGAATGTAACGACTCGAAAAAAATGATAGGTTGAACTAGAGCCTAAACGTTAGGTTTAACGTCAAGGGTTAAGGGCAAAGGCTAAGGGTTTTGGGTGAAGGCCATGGTTAGGGAACCTAGGCTGCCTAAATCTAGGCCTAGCTACAGCCTACCAAGTCCACAAGTCGTGGTGCCACCCATGGTTGGCAAGGCAGTGTGCCCTAGAAAGGTGACAAGCCAAGGCCACCCTTCATGAGACACTTTACGGCTCGTGGTCATGACCACGGGCCATGGGAAGGCTCATGGGATTGCCTTATCTTTGTGGGATTGTGCAAAGTGAGGGAGCTACTGCCTCAAAGACCACGGGCACCACCATGAAATGTGGTGCCCTTGACGGTCTGTATAGGTGATCTGGAAAAACACTTGGGTGCATGAGAGGCAAGGCTTCAAAGCCAAGCCACTGCCTCAAGGCCATGACCATCACCACGACTCGTGGTCTTGACCAAAGATCGTGGGAGCTCTCGTGGACTTGCCTTAGGCCCTTCAAGGCTTGGAAAGTTGGGGAGGCACACTGGTCAAGGGA